GCGCAGCCCCCGCGCAGCCCCCGCGCCGCTCCCCGCTCGCTGCCGCGGGTCACTCGCGCTCCCCGCAGCGGTTTAAAACTGCCGCGGCGCTCCCGGCTGCGCCCGCTCCTCGCCCGACCGGCTGCCCTGAACTTCCCGGCCCTGCCGAGGCTCTGGGCTGCTGCTGCTCGGGTGTGCCTGAGCTCGGGAACTCCCCCTTGTAAAGCCTGACCTGACCCTCATCCCCGGACGTACCTCTGTCGCCGCTGCTGCCGCCTCGCCGACCGTGTCTTACAACCGCCTGCGTTGTAAGATGATGTGTGGGAGAAACCTGGGTAGATGCTGGGGAAAGGAAAGAAACACTTGAAAGGCCCAAGTAGGGCAATGACAAATTTGGCTGCTGTAGCTGTTTACCCCTTGAAGGATGAATGCTCCGACCCTAGAGCACCCAAAAAACACGGGTTTTTGATCCTTGCTCATGTACTGGCCTCTCAAGCAAGCTTCTCTTTGCAGAGCTTTTAGCGTTCAGGCTGTGTGGATGTTTCCTGATTTTTCTCTCCTGCTCCTTCCTCTGTCATCCCCTCCCGGCTATTCCCCATGTTTTTCCTCACTCTCTGTGAAGCAGTGGGAAAGGAGCAGCCCTGTCTGACTGCCTGTGATTATGGGGACTCTTATCTGCAAGCAAACAAAGTCTCTGTTTACCAGGGAAAAACCTGAAGTCCCTGGGGTTTATGGAGCAGAAAAACATGTGTTACTGCTTTCATGGCTCACTTGTTAAGGAGTCCTAAACTTTGGTGCCCTACTGATGCGTGTTTTCCTGCTTGCTCTTTGCTCCCATGGCTTTCCCAGTGAATGGATGCAAGTTTACTGTTTCCCTCCTGTATCCATTTAACTCTGCCTGGTAGAGATGGGCAGGAATTGCAGATGATCTCTGAATTTTAAGAGAGTTGTACTTCAAATCTAGATGCAAGCACTGTGAAGCCTCTTGCTTAAGTCCTGTCAAGGACTGAAGTGTTTCAAACCCTAACCTCCTGCCTTTTGGCCTCTGCATCTGCCATTTGTTTCAGTGTTGTTTGTCCCTTAGGTGGTTGCTGGGTCCAATTACTGGGGTCTTATCTTTCTTAGGATCAGATACTTGTGAATTCAAACAGTGCCAATACTTGATGTACTCCGAGGCACTGCAAAAGCATCCAGATCTTGGGAAAGATGTTGTTATGGCTTCTGAATGCCTTGTCCCAGCTGTAACAGCAGACTGGTATCTGGTGACCAAGCATCAAACTGTGGAACTGTGGGACATGGAGAACCTGAAGTGCAGCTGAGGAGTAAGGAGGGAGTTTGTGTTAAATGGAGCACAGTAACACAAAAACATGGAGATGGACCCAAGGGCAGGAACCAGGGAAAAGAGAAGGAGTGATGTTTGTGTGGAAAGACACAGAGAAAGAGAAGAACAGAGTACCTGGACATATGAACAGATTTTGAGCTGAGAAGCACTTTTCTGACTGTCCTTGTGTCTGTCTTTGTCTTCCTCATCCTCACATGGGACTTGTCATATTTGTTCTGAACTTCTCCTGGAGTTGCCACTGGACTGTTTTCTGATACCAGCAACAGCACAGTGTAAATGCATCACAGATACATGAATGAAGCACAAGACATGCTCGAGGCACTAGAAAAATGGTGATGCTTGTGTGGACATGCAAAGAAAAGAGTTGACAGGGATTCTTCCTCAGAAGAAACCCAGCAGTCCCCAAAGCTGTGGGACAGAGTGGCTCAAAGGCTCCCATTTGCTAGATGAGCCCTCTGTATGCCCAGAGGGAGCAGGAGAAGCCTCGGATCAAGTAGTGATCTGGGGCTTGGCAGAGTGATTTCTTCTTTGATTAGAGCTCACTGATCACAGTAGATGTGGTATAATGCGTTTAGTAGTCTCCCACTGGTTTCTGGTTGTGTTTCTGGATGCAGGTGCCAGCAGAAGGGAGAGCCCAAAGCAGGGCACAAGTTACATCCTTTCAGTCTCTTGATACTGAAAGGTCTTACTGCCAAAGCGATACTGCTTGGACAACAGAGCCAGTAGGGCTTCAGGGGATGCCAGACAGGAAAGTGTTTTGCTCTTCTTTGGCCAGCCTGATGTTTTCGGGAGAGCCAGGGCTTGGTAGAGGGGGTTGTGGACAGGAGGCTGTGTTTGTCTCTCCGTCTTTCCCCAGCCTCCTCTGCGATGAAGGTTCCCTTCCCCAACAACCCGTGGACTTGGGACTTGTTTGGAAAGACTAAGGAAGGAGTTAATGAAATTCTAATTCTAGTGATGTTATAAATACTCTGATGCATAAATGATGTTCTGATGTTGCCCAGTGAAGCTGTGGCTGCCCCATCCCTGGAAGGGTTTGAGACCAGGTTGGATGAGGCTTTGAGCAATCTGGTCCAATGGAAGGTGTCCCTCTCCATGGGAGGAAGATTGGAACTAGATGATCTTTAACGTCCTTTCCAACCCAAACCATTCTGTGCTTCTATGATAAAATGGAAAACACCTTTTCTTTGTTTCTGGAGTAGAATCCAGGGCAAATTATTTAAGCATTCAGAAGATCAAGGCCAGATGATGTTTGATACATGAGAGAAACTGGATGCTGCATGTATCAAGTAGCCTGTGCTGTGGGTGAATAGGTCTGTCCTGGAGAGACTGTGGGTTTACCACATCCTGTTTTGGCTACCATGTGCCAAAACCCATGGGAAGTGCATGGAAAATCCCAAATAGCATGTGACTGTGGATCCCATACAAGGATACTCTGGGGAGGAAGAAACATGAACTGCAAGGAAACACTAGAAAAGCTGGGATTGTTCAGGCTAGAGAAAGTTTAAGGGGAGATACTGACATGTGAATACATGAAATACGTAACAGAGGAAAAGTTTAGGCTGTTCACTATATCCAACATAAACAGGACATGAAGTAACATCCAACTACAGGAGACTAGATATTGGGAAAAAAATCCCTTAGCTTTTGATAGAAAAGCTAGTTAGGACTAGTTTAGCCTGTCTTGAGGGATGGTGGGATCTCCATCAGTGGCAATTTTATGAGGGGTATACTAACATCTAGATTTAATACCTGACATGCTGCTGCAGCCAGCCAGATGATGTAGGCAAGGATCTCCATAATCTGTTTTCCTGTCAAACTCTGTGTGCTCATAGATAAATATTGATGTGTGATCCTTGTACCCACACCCAGAAATGCGAGTAACAAACCTCATGGCCCTCTGACAGTGAAACTAATGGTTTGGTTCAGTGTTCTGAGTTCCTATTGCTGAAGAAAAAGGGCTGAGTGAGAGTGGATGCTGTGTTTCGATGATAAGGGAATTCAGATTTTAGGGATCCTTATAGGAGGTTACAAATACTGCAACCCCATGGCATGTGACAACCTTCTGGTAAGAGCTCTGATGGTTCAAATATATTCAGAAGTTGTGGCTGTTGTAATTTGGTGATTGCTGGGTTTATGCCAGGTGCCCTTTAGGCCAGTTGATGAAACCAGCTGGATCAGCTGTCATCTGCATCACTCACATGTGGCACAATGCCCATAGCCCCCCAGCTGTGCTCTGGGAATTCAAGGGCAGGATCACCATCTTGCCACATGAGATCAATTTTTCACTAAGTGGTGAACTGCTGGTGCCAGGATCTGGTACTGCCAAGCTTCTAGAGATGGCTTGACCCCACCATATCCAAGAGTGTGATTCCCTCTGTCCTGGATGGGCAAACACTTCTGCCCGAGGAAGGCATTCAGGACATCGCGCACTTAGCACTGTTTAATTAGTAGTAATGCAAACTGAAACACCTTTTTTTTTTTTTTCATCCTCTCTTCTTGCACTCCAGCCACCAATAGCTAGAGCATTTGGAAGGAGTACCAGAGGTGCGTAATTTCTGTTTTAACTTGCATTCAATGTCTCTGATTTATTCATACCTTCTGCAAATTGGTCAGTTTTTCAGATGTGTCATTCTGCAAGGATTTGTCCCCTGATTTCTGCAGAGACACACTGGGATCTGAGTTATTTGCAAACACTTTCTGTGTAAATTTCATCCATGTGTATCGTGCAGCATACTGTTTATTCTTATTATTATGTCAGAAAAATCAGAGAAATTTGGAGTCCTAAGCTGGAACTTTGCAGCAGATGTGCCTGGATTTGAACATGATTGATATGGACTCAAGGATGTGATGGCACTTATTAATGCAACAGAAAAACATCTCTGACTGACTTTGTAATCTAAAGAACTGTATAACGTGGCTTCTTTGCATGTCCACACAAGACTTTTTTTCTAAATCTTTCCTTACAGTCTTGGTAGTGCCCTTCTGGGCAAAACACTCTTCACTGGCACTAGCCCATGTGCTATTGCTTCATTGTAACTGCACTGGTTGCTATTTACCACCAAGTTCTTTGTTTAAAATTATCATTATGAGTAGATCTCCCACATGTACGTCTTTACAGCTAGTCTTTCTATCCTTGAATACCTATGCCAGGTAAAGTTATTTCAGATAGAAAATAATTTTTTCTTAAGGGATCAATCTCTGCAGTGTTGTAGTTTTGCCAGGATAAGAGAGCTGTGTACCTGAGGGGGTTTAGTGCCTTTTCTATATGAGGTAGTTAAACTGATGGCGTGTTTCAAACAGGTCACAGTGATGTTGAATAATTCCCATGGTTTAGCCTAGGCTCAGGTTCATCTGACATAATTTGAAAGTCCACATGGAGTGCTTAAGTTAATGAATTCATTTTCCAGAGCTCCCTGTATAGCCAAAAGGAGGCAGAGGTTTCCTCAGGGGTGATTCAGAGCACATAAGTTACAGCCAGGAGCATCACTGACTGCTGGGGGGATTTGCAATGTCTGTCCTTCTCTGTTAGACATTTCAGTTTGGTACATAAAACTAGGAGGGGTGTCCTCAGCATTGTATCCTGCTGGTCTCAGCATCCTCTTGGGAAAACCTTCTCCCCGTTTTCTGATATGGAAAGGGGGGCTACAATCTCCCCGTAAAACTTGTGGTCTTGTTTCAGGAAAAAGATGAGATAACACCTCAGATGGAGGCCAGTTCCACTTCCACCAGCCTCAAAAAGCTTAAGTTTGGGAAGCTGAAGGTGGTACGTCGGCGCTTGCTACAGAGGTATGAGCACCAGCCCTTCATCTCCTGCCTGGCTGGGTTCTACAGCTGCCGGTGGAAGCGGTACCAGCGCCAAAGGACAGAGCCTGGGAAATGCTGCTGCAAGATGGTAAATTAGCTCAAAACCAGTACAGACATGGACTTCTGTAAAGGGCCAAGCCAGTCCAAGCAGACAAAGGTTGATGTCATGCTGTCACAGCCCAACATCATTTGGAGCCTGCTGAGATCTGTCGGGTTGTTAGATTTTGTACTGTGTGCTTGATAAATTGATGTGTTTCCATAGCAAGCTTGTTTTATCTGTGCCACCATGCAGCAACCAAATGTGTGGTAGCAGGGAAGGACTTTGCACCAAACCCTCCTGTCTAGTGAAACATCTCAGAGTCATGGAATCAATTTAAAGAAGTAGCATTAGCGATGGGTGTGCAGTAAGAATTGCAAAGACAACTGCTGCACAGTACAATTTCCTCTCATATGAGGTGTTTTAAATCCTGTTCACTTGGGAAGTTATGAGTTTTCCCTGAAAACAAATACTTCTGAGTACAGTTTTGAGGACATTCCCCTGGTCATAAGGGACAGGGAGGGAATTCCTCTCTATATTTACTTCAATTAGAATTTTAACAGCAAGCCATATATTTTAGGAACAGCCTAAAAGTACCTCACATTTACATTGATTACTTTGGGGTAACCAAGGCTCTGACCACTTGTCTTTTCCCTCTCCAGCGGGAATGCCTGTTTTTCCCATTGCTCATTGGAGCTTTCTGCTTTTCTCTGGTCTTTCTATACATGTGGGGTGAAGGGAAAAATGACTACAACAACTTTGACTGGTAAGTACCATCGTTTCCTCCTCTCTCACTCCCTGGGCAGATCACCAGGGTGACTGGGAAGGGATGAGTACCTTCCCCAGCATCTGTGCTGCAACAGGGCACTTCAGCCATGAAGCAAAGATTTGGCATTTTAAACTCTTGGTTACAGCATCCAAATTGAATGTCCAGAGACTTCAGAGGTGCTGAGACTCTGCATTTTGCTTGGCTACAATTTTTAGGTGTGTAAATTTGGAAGAAAGGGGAGAATCATCATCCCAAATATTGTGAGTGAAAGGGACTAAGTAGCTCTTTCCTTCTCTGAATCCCTTTCTCCTCCCAGCCCCCTATTCCACCTGAAGAAATGTGATGGCTGGAATTTGAGGCATTGCACCAGCTAACTTGCTGAAAGAGAATTCCATATTCCCAGACTCAAAAGTAAGAAATGATCGTCAGAAATTTATGCATGTCCTTTCCTTCTGTATCACGTAGGAAAGTTATGCAAATCTGGCCTCTAAAACTAAATTAAAACTGCTCAAATAATATGGGAAGGAAAGGTGTAATAAGGTGTACTAGTCTGGTGGTTAATGCGATCAGGGATTTTGGGAAGGAGGCTCTTAATCACTTTTTCATGTTACATGATAAGTTATCCCTCCCTCCTCCTTTATTACTTTGAAAATTTCAGAATTTCAAGGAACAGGGTTCCTCCAGTCCATATGCTAACCACAAACACTATTACAATATTTTGTTGCTTTCTAGGTATAACTATGGGAATCTGGGCTTCTGGTTTCTCTGGTCTCTTGTTATCCTTATACTGGCTTCAATCTTGTTCACATACATCTCACTGTTGCTGGTAAGTAATGCTCCTTGTAAGCTGACCTTGACTTATAGTCCTGAAAAGGAAATAGACTAAAGCTCAGTCTAGCCCACCATACAATCCTGAGACAGTGGATGCCTAGGGAAGATTTGGAGCACAGTGATTGTTTATGGTACTTTCTCCTCATATCCACCTGCAAATGACTAGTTTTAGCTCAGGGGTCTCTGAGCCAGAGAGAGTTTCTGTGATTTCTTTTGATGGTTTGCCTTTGATAAATGTGTCCAATCTCTCCTTGAACACAAGGAAAGCTGAGCCAGCAGTGGCTGGATTTAGATTTAGGGGAAGCTAAAAATTGTTGCTTTGGCAGCAGGGAAGTATGGAGCTCTGAGTCATGTAGCGGTGGTGATACGTCATCACAGCTGAGTTGTTCTTCTAATCGCGGAAAAAAGGTTCTTTAGAGGAAAAAGAATATTATCACTGAAGCTACTTTGACTCACTCTGCTTTGCTGGAGTTTTCTCCAGGTAGAGACTACAGACATGGTCACGAAAACACTGCTGAGGTTTATGCTGAAAGAGGTTCCTGAAATCTTCATTTTCCAGATCCTATTAAATTTTCTCTTTAGTTGTATTCTGCTGTCTGCTTTGGTTACTGAAAATATATCAAACCCAAACTTTCCCTAAAATTTCTACCTACTCATCCCTTTCCTTTATCTTCTCCCTCATAAGGAATCTCCCAAATAAAGACAGATCTACACCTGTGTTTCTACCTTCTGCATCCAGAGCTATAGGGTAAGAAATCACTTTAACTCCAGACACTGGAGTCCACTTTCAGTCTCATGCCTGCTCCAACTTTCATTTTGAAATACCAGGTGCTGAGAGTGAGGTTATGGCTTTGTCTCACCTCTGTGACCAAGACAACCACCTTTTATCATCCATTCCTGCTGTTCTTACCCATTCCCTGATGTGTCATGATATAGTCAGTCTGTAAATTGCTCATGACAGGGAATGTCTTTTGGCTTTGTCCATGCAGTGCCTAACACAAATGGTTTCTGGGGTACTTTGTCCCTACGGAAGTAGAAGTAAATAGTGGTTTTATTCTAGTGCTAGTAATAACCTCCCCCAAGTGATAAATAGGACAGTTGCTTGGCCTTGCCCACAGCAACCAATAACATCACAAAAGATGTGAACTGAGATCTGAGTAGGATAAACAGCAACAAGGATTTTGTAACATCCTAGTGGCTCTAGGGCTCAAGGATTATTATGTAGCAAAGCCTACCTGCTTTTCCAGTGGCCATGGAATAGTGTGGGTGGTTTGATGGTTACAATGCTACTTTGGGCAACTCGGAGCTTTGCCAGACACGATCATATGACAGAGCTGCATCTGAGATTGTGCCTCAGCAGGCTGTGGATCTAGAGTCAGCCTCAGGATCATTCCAATGCCCCATAGCACAGACTAGAAACAGGCTTTACATGATTTCCTGGGCTTGAGTAGCCTGAAGAGCCCTGGGACTGGTGTGTCAGCCTGGTCATGTTCTGTCTGGATCCAAACAGCAGCCAATGTCCAAGCAGTGGACTTTCTTAGAGGAGTTCCATGTGTTTGTCAGGGTCAATGTGATGACCACGAACTGTCAGGGCAGGTGATTGGCAAAGTAAAGACAGAAAGGAAGATGGAAGTTATGAAGTGAAACTGGTGTCCTGCATGGCTTAGTTCAGTCCTGGTCTCACTCTTTATTTTGTAGATAAATTGTCCTTCTCTCCTCAAGCCTCTCAGTTCTGTCTAATGAGGCTAACAACATTTTCCTTCCTCAGAAGGGTGAGCACGGATAAACCTGAAATAATACGAATAGTCTGAACAGTATCAGACAACAGGAGAAACACTTGAAGATGTTCCTCTGCTCTGAGGACATCTGAGGACACAGCCTCTGCAGTGAAGTTCCATTTTCTCCTTGCTTTCACGAAGCTGTTAAGTGACACAGCCAAAGCTGTTTGGTGTTTCTAAGGGCATTTGCCCTAATTAATTGCATCACCGTGCCACCATGTCCTCTGTGGCAAGACTGCTATATACATCTATGTTGAGTGGTGGTGTTGAGAGGCATGAGGCTGTTCCTTAAATAGGATTAGATCTTGAAGGAAAGGGAAACAAGGGAAGTTATCACTGCCATCATTTATGCTCCCACTGTCTCCAGGTATGAAGGGTATTGTAACAGCTGTGGCTGGATAATGCTCATTGCAGCAGGGCTCTTTCAGAAAAGGACTCTACCAGGAATCCACCCCTCCACCACTGTTTGCAGAGCTTTCCTTTCACTGAAGGCTTTGATGGACTACCAGCAAAACACTGGGAACCTCACAGGCTAGTACATGTAACTCAGCCCTTCCACTTCTAAATAAATCTATCAGTGTGGGCGTTATACGATAGCTGGATTGATCAAATATGTTTCAAATAACTGATGGCCAAATAGGTTGCTGCCACAATGGATTATATTCCAAGTTCTGGTTGAACAGCATTGGATGGAGACTACCCTAACACTTGTTACACGAGGGACTGGAGAGCTTATTATTAGAGGCAATATTTTCTTGTGCTGCATGAGCAGCCCGTCACATCTGGAAACTGAGCGCCCTGATGCCTTTGTTGGAGCAGAAAGATTTTATAGCAGCCAGTGGCTGGTCTGGTTTTGTTTTTAAACACCATATTCTTTTTCTTAATGATGGCACCCAACTGGAGCCTGGAAGCCTGCTTCCATGAACTTATTGTGAACCTCTGAAGCATACATGCTTCTGACCACCAGCCACAAGTGGCTGAAGAAAATGCTGCACGAAATAGCACTAGCTGTCTGTACAGAGAAGGTCTCCATCCTCATGCATCATTGTCATTTTTTCAAATGATCAATTCCAAATAATTCAATTGTTTAATCACTCCCCAAGGAGTGATTTAGCCCCATTAGGGATAAAAGATTAAACTGAGGGTCTAATTATAGAACTGTTCATTCTCAGCAAAGAAGAAAAATCTTTTCTTGTTCAGACTTTCAAACACCAACAGATAGCATTTTCCTCTTTGGAGTTCAACCATGTTTGTTCTTAGGGTTGTGGGGAGCTGACTTGTGAATGTACAAAATACAGGGCTTCAGATATGTTGTGGCCTCTCTATTCATAGACTGAGAGAACTCAAATTGACACTGAAATCCAAAAAGTGACTTCAAACCTCCATCCCTCAGAGACTAAGGTACCAGACAAGTTCTGAGTTGCTGTATTTTTGCCAAAAAGTGAATGTGAGGACCTGAATCCAGCTGTTGTGAACATCTGAGTGAGCAGCTGTTCCAGGTGAGGCGAGTGTTTAAGTGCCTGCCTCCATGTCCTCATTCGTCAGCGGGGTTCTTCACCCAGAGAGTGGTGGTGCACTGGAACAGGCTCCCCTGGGAAGCAGTCGCAGCACCAAGACTTACAGAGTTCCTTGAGTTCAAGAAGCATCTGGACAATGCTCTCAGGCACATGGTGTGATCCTTGGTGCGATCCTATACAGAGGCAGAGTATGGACTTTGATGATCCTTGCGGTTCCTTCCAACTCAGAATATTCTAAGTGTTTGGCTTTACTGTATGCAAGGACCAGGTCTTTGTGTAACATTGCTTGTCGAAAAGGAACAAAGGGTCTATTTTCTTTATTTTTTTCCCCCTGAAATATCTTATTTATATGGGGCTGACTTTAGATCTCCAGTACTATTTCAGTTCTCTCTGAACTGCTCCCACTGTTACTCATCATATAGGTATAGGATTCCATTAAAGGAACTCAGTGTGTCAGGAGTGACTTTAAGGCTGATCTATATTAACTGCTGAGTTTATCACAGAATCATAAAATGGTATGGGTTGGCAGGCACCTTCAAGATTATCTAGTTCCACGCCCCTGTCATGGACAGAAACACCTTCCATTAGATCAGGTTGCTCAAAGCCCCATCCAGCCTGGACTTATATCTTGCTTCAAATCAGCATGACTCTGGAAAGAGAGTATGTTTGTAGATGGGTAGGAAACAACTTACATTCCTTTGCAGTTATGTTCCTGGAGAGAAGAGCCTCTTCCCCTATGTCCTGTTTTCCTACAATCCCACTATCCTATAATCTGGAGGGACTTGCATCATAAATGATCCTCCTCAGTGGAGCACTGAAATCTACTAACTGATACTTTTCTCTAAGTCCTGATATCTGGTGATATTGTTCCCCAAATTATCCTTTACAGTGATCAGGAAGCTCACTCCAGGCATTCAGGCCTGTGCATTTTCACAGAGGCAAAGTGCTGCTCCTGGTGAAACTCATGTCCTTGTTCATTGGTTGCTTAGGCCAACCACCAAAAAATGGAGTAATTTAATCTCCAAGATAATTTTCTGTGGTCTGAGATGTGCCTGTCTCTTGCATTCCCTGTGGTTACTGGGGGAGGAGCATTGCCTCCTTTGCTGTGTCTTTTTGTGCTGCTTTAGAGGCATTTTTTATTCCCTGGCCTCTCTGTCATGGTTGATATGCCTCTAATCACAACCAATGCCCAGAAAATAATCAGGGTTAGTGCTGTATTGGTTTATACAATAGCTGCTCACCCTGGCCATCAATCCTCTTTCAGTGTCTGTACTCACAAAGAAAAATCATTGAAAGTGAGTACCCCAAAGTGACCAATTATCTGTTACCCATTAAAAAGTCTTTGGTCTTGCAGGGCAGCCTTGACACATGCTTGGCCATTTCAGAAACATTTTTACTGTAGCAATACACATTTCTCTGCATGCACCTGTCCTGCAAACAGCTTTGACATTGTGCAGGAAGACGTAGTGTAAAGTAACTTCCCAATGCAAAAATAATTCCAGAAGTACCTCACTGAACACGTCATCATCTTCCCGCAGGATGCATTCAATGTCTTCTTGATTTCACAGGTCCTCGCGATGTGTTTGCTTGCAGAAGGTCAGCAGCTGTACCTGCACTGGACTCACAAGGTGGGGAGAGTCAGGGCTTTCTGGTAACTCTAATCTGTGCTTTAAATTAATTGAGTCTGTGGTATTTCTTTGCATGAAAAACCTCTTGGACTATGGGAGAGAAGGAAGAGAGGGAAGAGGTTAATCTTATGAGGATTTAACTGTCCATAAGAATGATATCTGCACCTGAGCTGATCACTCAAATTCCTTTTGCACTCAGTGGAGGGAAATGAATCCTCTGAGGATGCAATTCATCCAGCTGGTCATAGCCATCTAAATTAAGATGAGATGAATCACACTCAAAGAACCTTTTTTCCCCACTGACTCTCAAAGGTGCCTGCAGTGACTCATTCAGGTGAAGATGTCTATATTTGACACATCTACATATGGTAACATGGAGTCAAAAGCGAAGTTTCTAGGAGAAGCACAGCATGATTTTCTGTAGCAGACCCCAGCAACAGTGAAAAAAGTGTCTGCTCTCTATTCAGAAGGGAAATACGGCTTTTCCAAGGCATCCTGGTGCCTCATGCCTTTTGGTCTTTGGATGGTTCTCTGGAAGTGTTCAAGGCCAGGCTGGATGGGGCCTAAGCAATCTGATCTAGTGGGTGGCATCCCTGCCATGGTTGGAGCTAGATGATCTTTAAGGTTCCTTCCAACCCAAATGGTAGAACTCTGCAATTCTCTAATTCTATTCTATGGTTTGGGAAATGCCACCTAGAGTTTTGAAGGCACAAAAATAAATCCTCAGAGATTTGTTCCTGCAAAGTTACGTGTTAGAATCATCATCCTTAAGTAATTATTGGGGCTATGTAAGGCATTTAAGAAATGCTCCTTTAGCCATGCAGTCTAGGATAGAATGTAATGTGTTTGCAAATCCTGCAGTGGAAGGGAATAGCCAAATATGTGGATAGTAATCCTGTATTTCTTTATTTAAGTAATGGAAATGGAGGGATCTTTACTATTGAGAACAGGATTCCAGAAGAACCAGAAAGATGTAGAATAATTTGCAAAAAAAAAAAAAAAAAAAGAAAAAGGCATTCTTGGGTGCAAGACATTAGGGATAGATTATTAAGGTGTTGATCCATAGAAGATCCTCTGAAGAATGGTAGGGCCTTGGTAGAATTTCTGCTTGCCCATAGTTGTCAACAGATAGATGATGTACCTAGAAGGGCCTGCCATCACCACTGTGCTGGTACCAAACTAAACAAGAAACTGAAGACTAGGCTAGATGCCTCCTCACCTTTTTGATTGAAAAGTGAACTCTCATCTCTTAATTATGGGAATGTTTGCTGTTGCTGAAGCCTGTTGCAGAGCAGCTCACAGCATAAGGAATTTTTTTACTGTCCCTTTTGGAGGTAATTTGTCACTTCTGACTTTAGAAGTGATGAATTCCACCTGCAGGTTAGGGATTTAATGTGAGCTGGTCACCTAGTCTCCATCCATATCAACTGAGAGAGGCACATTCCATCATACTGCAAGCAGGAATGGATCACCTCTAGAAATTCCTCTTTATCCTCTTTATAGAGGGAGTCTTGAGGGCTGACTTAGTTGGATAATCAACTCTTGAGATCAGTCCTGCCATGCAGAAAAAACAATGATAGCATTGTTGGTCTGTTTTTAGTCCCATTGAATCTCTCTGTCTCTGAACTGGGGAAGTCAATCTCATGCATCCTAAACAATTTACCAAGCTGCTTAAATTAGCCTGTGACTCAGATGGATGGCACACCCTGTGCAGAAATGCTGAAGCTGATTTATGACTCCTTTGTGTCCCCAGATTGGTACGTTTCTTGTCCTGGGCTTCTCTATTGCGTGCCTCTTTGCATTAACTGTACTCTGGGGAGATCACTGGAAAACTGTTCGTCTGTCATTCCAGGTAAGAGAAGTTGGGAAGTCTGTTTGAAAGAAAAATGTGTGAATAGAAATATTTTGTGAAAATTGATAGAAGATATTCCGTAGAAGATATTATGGTGGTTTTTGACATGGGTTTTCCTGTCAGGGTATGTAGTTGTGAGTAAACTTTTATTATGACTTAACATTTCCTGTTGGAAGAAAGGAAACCAAGACCTGAGGCTGAGTTTCAAGCTATGTGTCTCAGTTTGGGAAGTTATAGCCTTTTGTTGTTTGTTTTCTTTTTTTGTTTGTTCGGTTTTGTTGTTGTTGTTGTTTGGGTTTGTTTGTTTGTGGGAGGGGTTGTTTGTTGTTTGGTTTTGTTTTTCCCCCCCATTTTCAGCTGTTGAGGGCAGGTAAATCAGACCCCTTTGGCTGGTAGAGTTGCTGGAGCAAGAAGTTTCTCCCTCATCAGATTCTGCCATTACAGCAGACTTAGCATTAGCACAATTTCATCTCATAGGGGCAGGACAGCACTGAGTTTTTGGGGAGCAGGTGGAGAGTACTGGAGTCAGGTGGGACAACATGGTGGATGCAGGAGGTCAGAGTGGTTGGGTGATGCCTCCACAACTCCCATCAGATCTGAAGATGGAGGCAAGAGCTGCCCAGTCCTGTTCAGGTCCCCACTTGTATTGGGAAGGAAGAAGTATGTAGCCTTTGGCTACATAGCTGCTTTGCAGAATCCAAACCACTCTACAATTCTATGATTCCATGTTATTTGGAAGTTAGTCTGTTACTTCTCCCTATGTGGCTTAGTGCTTGTGAAGGCTGGAAGAGCAATGCAAATGGACTGGAAGAGGAATCAAAGATGTGATGTTTGTAGGGTGTGGTTAATTGCACATTCCTGCTCTATAGAGTTTGCTAACCATTGGTGTAATCAGTGGCAAAGGTCATGAGAAACCATCAGCTTCTCCTCCCCGTGGCAGACATCAGGGAATGTGGATGAGGAGTAGATACAAGAGAATTTGGGTTGCCCACAGGTGCTGTTTATTTCAGGTGTCCATGCCCTTTGAGATGGTCTCCAACTGCTGTTCCCAAAGGACATGAAACTCTTGTAGATGCTGTGTCATATCCATTAGCCCTGCAAATCTATCTCATGTATTTTGGACATCTCAGATGGCACCTCTGTGCAATTGAATCCTAACCCTGCTTCTGGTTGGTGTCAAGTGTCTGAGGCAGACAGTATCACACGCAATAACATCTCTCAATGACTGATGCTTTTTTCCAACCTTTCCAGCTAGCAAATCAGCATCAGGACTAAGCAATAGGAAAGACTTGCATCTGGATAGTTTTTTTCCCTAGCACGTAACTTAATAGTTCTCAGTTCTAGCTGGAACATGCACCACAGGGTTCTGATGAGCGTGAGAAAATGAGGGATTGGTTTCTTGCTCAGATTTGCCTAGTTTTATGAAAAGTGTGTCATACCAACAACCATTCAGAGTCTGTACAAAAACTATTTCTGCTTGGTTTCCAACTCTATTCATGCATTCATTATAACCACAGAAGTGATCCTTAGCTTATGATCTTCTTGTTTTGTCTTTAGGAGTAAAGAAATAAAATCTAATGACTATATAATACATCTGCTTCTCTTATACTACAATAGTTTCATACAAATGTAAATACCACATTTTATCAGTCAGGGTTGTTTACATTGGTTTAATGATTTAACTGCAGTGTAGTGTGGAGATAACTATTACCTGGATGGGATTGGATTGGAATAGTTTAGATTGGGTTAAACTGGAAGATATTCACAGGTTATGGCATATCAGTAATGGCAATCATGTCCTCATGGATGGGGATAGTCATGTCCCCTTCAGCTGACTCAGGAGAAAGGAAAGCAGTAAGAAGCATTCCTCAGCCCAAGGAGCACTCCCTTCTACCTGGCCAGGGCTACACGTCTCTCCTCCAAATTCTGAGTATTTGGTGGATACAACACAGGTGTGAGAGAGTGGTTGAACTGCTGGTATCTGCAGCAGGAGCCCATCCAGGTGTAGGGCTGTAACTGTGCTGGGGTTTGTTTCCGTGTGTCTCCACAGTTCATCCTTTGACTAAAATGCTTTTCTCTCCTTGCCAGATCACAGCTCCCTATCTCCATATAGGGGCCATCGCCATCATGGTCCTCCTGTCCTGGCCCGTGGCTCTTCATGCTATCAGAGCAGATAAGAAAGGTAGAGCAGCTCTGCTTCCTGCTCTCTGTATGACAACAGATGTATATCAGCATTGGAATAGAGGTGTTCAGGAACCCTTTACTCCCACACCTGCACTCCATCTGGAGGAGACTTTTAAATTCTGCATATTCCAGGGAAATTAGCAGGGCTGGGGCTTGGGCTGTGCCCTGTCCTGTTTCTGTCCCAGTGTGTTAATGGTTTGCATACCCCCTTGCACAGTTTTGCCCTATACTGAGGCAGTGACCTGCCTTAAGACAGGAGGTTAGCAGAGGCAGCCATGTTCTGAGTGATGTGTAAAAATCTGTTCAGCCCTCTGCAGGAGAAAGCAGCCAGTGGCAGCTCTTTTGGCTGATTTTTGGTTGCTGTACACAGCTTAGCTGTGTCAGAAGGGATCTTCAGTCCAGTCAGTCAAAACCACTTCAGACTAGCACACCTCAGGAGAAGCCAACTGAGATAGGGGAAAGAGATTTTTGATCAATTCCTGGTGTTATCTCATAGGAACTTGCTGTCCACCTCTAGAAGTATGACCATGTGTTGTAAAGACAAAGCCAGATGCCAGGAACAACTGCAGGAAAGCCTGACTCTTGGACTGGCTGTTTTAATCTGACCTTGTCTTTCCATATAGCCAAAACTGTCTACATGATACCCATCTACAGATGTTATTTGCAATAAAAATCACAGACATAATGGACTGGTGAAAGAATTAGACATAATGGACTGGTGAAAGAATTTTTTTCCAGTTCAGGATTTTATTGTTGAGCTACAGCTGGGGAGGTTGGGGGAGAATATGCAGGGATCTTAGACATTAAGTAGCATCATGCCTGATGTACTCTTAGCTCAGTCATCATCTTAGTGTAAGCCCAGATTCCTTCAGAGCCACGGCACAAGGTGCAGAGGGGTGGTGGTACCCATTCAGGAAAGAGGTGTTGGTGCATAGGTGCTTGTTTCTCGGAGAACTTGTTTTGGTTCCTGAAGTGAAGGGTCTCTGGGACTCTTGGGCACTGTGCCAACAGACTCCAGAGAAGACCATAGGTAATGAATTGGCAAGTTTCTGAGGTGCAATATCCATGACCTTAGAGTCTGTAGGATTCTCTAGATCACACACAGGAGATCACTAACAACAATGTGAATAAACCAGGGAAGTATTTACCATAAGGAGATGTAACTTGGCTGAAGGAGAAATGTTCCTTCTCTTCCTCAGTGTGAATGAAACTTGAGAATGGTGCTTGTTCTTATCTGAGCAAGAAAAAAATTAGCACCCTTCTGTTGAGGATTGTTCAGATGGAGGATATTTCATTGCTCCACCTCTAAAGAAAAAGAAATTAAGGCCATGTCTTCCTGTAAGGCATAATGAGATGTAATTAAAGCATAAAATCTGCAATCCTGACTTAGCCTGCATCCTTGCTTTGAACAGTTTGTTTTTCTGGTTTGCATTGTTTGGAGAGAAAGTGAAAGTTAGGGGAAGAAGGAATGGAAAAAGGATGGGACAAGTAGCCATTTAGCTGGAGGGCTGTATTAAAAGTCAAGTTGCAAGGCAGACTCGTATGTTACCTCGTGGATTAACTCTAGCCTTCCTCCTTCAAATTCTTTCAGTTATTCAGGTGATAATTATTGGTCCATACGTGGCTATCCTTCTCTTTCTTTTCTTGATACCTCTGGGGATGTACTCTCCTTGCATCAGAGAGATGGGAACACTTGGACCAAAGCCAGCCCTCATCGGACACCGTGGAGCACCAATGGTAGGTCTGGAGAATGCATTTTATGTAATTTCTTCCTCCTGTGTCTTGCTACCTTCATCATCATCTTCTGTTGTTTGTTTTTTTTTTTCCTCCATGGAATCTGTGAAGGGTGCAAGGCGAGACATGTCTGGTTGGGACTGCATGCCAAAGGCATCACTCACTGCATGGATTTGCTTACAAGGATAATGCTGTTCCTGAGGGGCACAACCAGGCTGGATGGGGCTCTGAGCAATCTGGTTTAGTGGGAGGTGTCTCTGCCCATGATGGGGTTTGGAATGGGATGATATTCAAGGTCCCTTCCAACCTAAGTTGGATGATTCTACAACAAGATGGGTTTGGCTAAAGTGGAAGAAAACAAACAGTAGACTAACAATATAATGATACTCCCTTAATAAAAAACAGAGGTGTTACAAAAAGGCAGAAAGTACTTACAGAGTCCTCCAGACTGTGTTCGAAAATGATTCGCTCATGCACTTTTTTTTTTCAGCTAGCGCCAGAAAACACTGAGATGTCATTTCAGAAGACAATTGAGCATGGTGGGGATGGTCTTGAGACAGATGTCACCATTAGGTGAGGGGAAAACACTGCATCTCACAGAACATATGCTACTTCTTCTAAGGGTTTTTTTTGGAGATAGGCAGCTCCAGGCAATTAGGTTTTACTGATGGCTGGAACAGGGCCCCTTGGATGACAGAGGCTGTAGGGCATGGTTGTTCTCAGGCAAGTCAATAAGCTGCAGCTATTGATTTAACAATCGTTATTTCTACTGTATATTTTAAATGCTTGACAGAGTATAAAGACAAGTCCCTACTCTACTCTCATTTCCAGGTCACAGTGAGGGTTGTATCAGGTCTACAGACCAACAGAAAATTGTGTTCAGACTTGTGACAGCATTGTCCTAATTATTAGATCTTTGATTGCCTTTGTTTGGTGGACTCATTGCCATGAACTGCTAACACTCTGTGCATGATGAGCAGTTTCCAGACACTGAATGGGAAAAACACTAACACTTACATGCTGTACCTATCTAGACCTTTCTATAAGAGAAAATTCTGCATTTCCATCACTGTCTACTTAGATTTCAGTCCTCTGAAAACCATAGAAACACTTTGATGTCAGCAAAAAGAGGTTTCAACCATGAGTCACTATCCATTTTTGTGGGGGTTGGCCACCACAAAGGTCACCATCTCCATGTTGCTCCTAAGGAACTGAGGCACAGACAGGCATGACTTCTCCCAGGTCACCTAGCAGTATTTAAGCTGGAAATAAACTGGTGTTTTGATCCTCAGCCTTCCTCCCCATCGCACCCTCTGCACTGAGGGAGGCCATACTGCTGCATTCACGGTGGCCCACATATTCCTCTGACCTGGAATGAGTCTGCTCTTGCCGTGAAGGAAGCTGCACCCCAGGTGACCTGAACTCTTACTCTTCAACAGCTATGATGGGGTTCCTTTCCTCATGCATGACACCACCTTGAAGAGGACAACTAACATCAAAGAAGTCTACCCTAATGACACTGATCAAAATGCTGCATTATTCTCCTGGGATACCCTGCAGAAATTGAATGCTGGAGCATGGTTCCTTAAGGTAAGTGTCATAAATGGCTAGAAACATTCAAGGTCAGGTTGGACTGGGCTCTGAGCAACCTGATCCAGCTGAAGATGTCCCTATTCACTGCAGGGGCATTGGACTGGATGAGCTCTAAAGGCCTCTTCCAATCCAAACGATTGTATGATTCTATGACTATCGCCAGCTGTCTCTGATGTAGAAGAGACACCAGATGCCTATTACTTAACAGCACCAGTGTTAGAAAAGGAATTACTGTTTGAGCCAAAACTCAAAGAAGTCAGTAAAAATACTTCACTTTGGGTCTCTCTGCTTTTTCCAGTTGTCCTTCAGGCTTAGGAGACCTACAACAACTGGCTGGTGGGTGTTCTTGTGTCACCTTATCTTGGAAGCAGCAGAATTCGTGGGCTGTGGGGAGAAGACAAGAGCTACTTTTGCAATGTGCTGTGCATAATATTCAGAGCTAGCAAGATGGGACAGAGAAGCACAGCAGTGCTATCAGTGAGCTATGCAATTTAGGTCCCAGAAGCACTGTCATCACAGCCTGAGTTGATTTCCTCCAATTCTTACGTAGGAGAGATAAGCAAAATAAAATATCCCCACCTGCTGAGGACTGATATCAAACCTTTTCCCTTTTAGAAATAGGAGGTTTTTACATACAGCTGAATCCCAGAGCAAACTACCTGATTGATTTCCTTTTTCTTTTTTTGGTATCTCTTTATTTCTAGGACAAACCTTTTTCATTCATGGGCTCACTGTCAGAGGCAGATCAAAACCAGGCAATGAATCAGTCCATTTACAAGCTGAGTAATTTCTTGCGCCTCGCAGACAGTCACAATAAACTTGTGATATTTGATCTCTACCGCCCTCCAGAGAAACATCCTTACAGGAACTTGTGGATCAGCAGAACCCTGGAAGTCATTCTCAAGGAGTCAGGGATTAAACCCCATCTGGTAGGGTGACCTCACTCCATCTCTTTTTCTTGCTCTCGAAATTGGGATTTTAGGGTCATACCTTGCATGATTTCACCTGCATTAAGTTGGTCGCTTGCATTTCTCTCATTTTAAAAGGTATTATTTGGAGTATATTTCTGCTATTAGCTCCTCATCAGGTACAAAATGGTCTAACCCTCCAGGCAGCTACAGGAAATATGGCAGTATGTATGCCAGCTGATGCCTTAGCCCCCAGACAGCACCCTTTCATAATTGTAATAATTATCAGTCTACTCCCTGCTACCCATGCCTGTTTTATATATTACATAAAAACTTCTAGCTTAAATTAAAATACAGAATTGAAACTGGGAGCCTTTATTGCCTTCCTCCTTCTGGCAGTGAATGAATGCTAAACTCATATGAATCAGGTTACATACCCTCTAATGTCCGGGAAGTTACGCTGATCTGTATCTGCTGAAGACTTTTTCTTCCATGCTGGAAGAATGAGAGAACAGAATATTTTCTGTTGCCTTTTCCATAAACCAAAGCTGTCTTTTCATTCATTTCCAACACCACAGCTTTTGTTGGGCTGTGTGAAACGTACTCACTGGTTACCAGTTAAAAAGCAAGGAACAGTGGTTACTTGTTTTTTGATGAAAATGTCTTGACAGTTTTAACCCTGCATCCAAATGTTCTTTGATCATTGGGAGAAACACATCATTCGATAGGCTGGGTTAATCCCCTCAAGATGTTATCTTTACAGTAGGGCATATTAGGGGCATGAATTCTTCTGCTGAGAGTTCATTGGTTCCTCTTGTTGCCTGCAGGTCCTATGGCTGAATAACAACATGAGGTCGTTTATTCAATCTGTCGCTCCTGGGTTTCAGCATACCTTTGGCAGAAAGGCACCAGTTGAAGACCTCTTAAAGAACAACATTGTCAAACTCAATCTGGTCTACACTGATATGTCCAGTGAAGATATTCGGTAGGTTTCAGGCCCAAGTACTGTCTTTAGACTGCAGCTGGACTATGCATGGGGAAATGTCTCCCTCCAGTGACCGGTTCCAGAATTTATAGCATTTTGTATAGTGGTCCTTCAGATCAAGTGGCCATCCCTGATGTATTTTAGGGGTGACAGATTGCAGTTCACTGCTACTGTAGACTAAGAGGTGGTACATGTAATTACTCCTCTTGCCCTAAATTCCATATTGACCAGGATCTGAGGATCTTCCGGTAGAATAACACAGCTCTCTCCTGATTTCTTGTCTTTCTGTTCATGCCATCCTCAGTCCCACCAACACTGAATTGTGGAGAACGCATAACTATTCAATCTCCCATGGCTCTTCCACAAACATCAGTGCGAGTGTGTAATGCTGTGGTGAGAGACCGTCATCCTCTTGTTGCTGGTGTTTTGGAGAGGTCATTTCTTATCTCTGTTACTACCACTACTCTGTTGTATGTGACACACTAAAAATGTCATTTCTACAGTGGAAGGCTCTACATTCATTGCAGGAGTTTCCAAAATGTTTATCTCACATGAAAAAAAACCCACAGAAATCACCAGAAAACCCCCAGCTTTACCTGTCCAGCTCTCCTTTTGTAAATGGGATTTTTTTCCAATGCACAAACCCATTGAAATCCAGTTGGAATGAAGAAAAATCTTCATTACTCTAATCCTTTGGGTGAGAGTAAAGTTCATGTTTTCTCAGTTATAACTGTCACAGGATGTAAAAGCATAGAATCACATGATGGTTTGGGTTGGGACCTTAAATGTCATCTAGTTCCAACCCCCCTGCCATGGGCAGGGATACCTTCCACTAGACCAACTTACTCAGAGCCCCATCCAGCCTGGCTTTGAACACCCCCAGGGATGGAGGTGTCCAGAACCTCTGGGCAACCTGTTCCAGCGCCTCACCACCCTCACAGTCAAGAATTTCTTCCTAAAGTCTGATCTAAACCTTCTCTCCTTCAGCTTAAAGCCATTCTCTCTTGTCTTGTCACTCCATGCCCTTGTCAAAAGTCCCTCTCCAGCTCTCCTGTAGCCCCTTAAGGTACTAGAGGGTTCCTCTAAGGTCTCCTCAGAGCCTTCTTTTTTCCAGGCTGAAAGGTTGAAAAAAATCCTAGGTAGATCCTTTTGGGTAAACCGTGGGTAGATCTTAGGTAGATTTATGAATGCTGGTATAGATGATACATTATAATTGCCTATAATTTACCATTATAGAAAGAATGAACTTACTTCATATCAAGTTTCATTAGTTTATAAGAACTCGAGGAATTATGAGTTGATGTAGCTAACACACTTGATATTACACTTGTGATAGCACACTTGAGTGACAGCTTCAAGGTGGTTTCGAACACACTATGGGGAGACTATAGAATAACAGAATCATTTAGATTTAAAAGACCTCTCAGATCATCAAGGCCACCCATTATCCCAGCACTGCCAAACCTACCACCAAACCATGTCCCCAGGTGAAACATATACACATTTTTTAAATAACTCTTTTATGATGATTTCATCACTTCCCTGGGCAGCCCATTCCAAGGCTTGCTAACCCTTTCCGTGAAGAAATTTTTCCTGATATCTAATCTAAACCCTCTCTGGTGAAGCTTGAGGCCATTTCCTCTATAGCTTGTTACTTAGAAGAAGAGACCAACACTCACCTGGCTACAACCTCCTGTAAAAACACAGCATTACATTGATTCATATGGCAGAAGGGTTAGAAAAATTTTGACCTTTTGGACATTTTGTCTGCTTTTGTTTACAGAAATTCAGCTATTCTGTATTAAGCAATTGTTAATGATTAATTATTGGCTGGTTGGCTTTCCTTTATGTTCCTTATCTAGGCCCTAAAGTGAGCATTTCACTATAGAAAATCACAACAATTTCCCATCACGTTCTTGAATCTCCTTGAGTAAGCCCGAAGGAAGTACTAACCTCCTTGCTTAACGAAGGTTGTTGCCTTTTGGTCTTTTAAAGGAAATATGCCGAGGCAAACATCACCACCAACCTCTATGTGGTCAATGAGCCATGGCTTTTCTCCCTGGCATGGTGCTCGGGGGCACACTCTGTGACCACCAACGCCGTCCACTTGCTGAACGATCTCAGTGAGCCACTCTTCCTCATGGTAAGTGAAACTCTTCTCTATCCCAGGAGTGGGGAGTAGGGTTGGGATGTTCATGGCTACCTTTGGACACTATGGGCCAGTTGACACATGGGTAAAGTATCCTTCAAGGATCCTTTGCATGAAAAAGACCTGAGTTGAAACCTGGCTTACCTGGAACCTTTAAGCCACTACAAGTATTACTACACCCTTCTCCTTTCTCCTGGCTCTGGTAGAAGCACCCTACTTGTTAGGATTTGCACTTTAGGCCTTGAGGTAAGGGAAGAGGTGATACTGAGACTTGTGCAGGGAGAATGGAAGGGCCTTTGAGGGCACAAGCTGATGCATGAGAATTTCCATTTCTAAGCTTTTGAAGCACCTTCTTGATGTCAGAAGTTTCTCATTTCCCAGGGCTTCCCAATGCCCTTCTCAAACTTGGTCTTGTTCCACAAGTCCAAGGAAAACAACCATGGAAATAACCCTTCTGCGCTGGGAGGAATTTTGACATAATTTTTATATTTATTATTTTGCCTTGGACAACCTGTAGGACCAGGAAGCACCTGGGCCAGTGGTCCCACCAGAGTCCTTGCAGCCTTAAGGGCTTTGAACAACTGGCTTCACACTCTTGAAGTAGATTTTACAATGCTCACATCCAGAGAACTGCACTGTTTCCGTCTATTCTAAGGTTGGGTGGAGGTCCAGTCTAAGGATGAATCTTCAGATGCTCTTACACTTAGAGTGGGAGCCACCCCAGACCCTCTGTGGAGTTCAGGATAGGGCAATTTTGCCAGAGAAAATGAGATGTCACCAGTTGATGTTACTGTTGGGGGGAAATAGAGAGAAGTACAGGGCCTACCTGTACAAACAAGAGGTCCCTGTTATATTCACTGTGATACAGTACAATCTTCTTGGCCATACAACAGACCTGCTTTTATGAAGATTTGGCACAAAGATCCAGTGGTGGCCACTTTGAAATGCCACAAAATGCTTTGAACACCCAAGAGGTGCTGCTGCACATGCAAACCAGTCAGCTGAATGGCCGTATTTGAGCAGCAGAAAGAGCTTGAGTAACTTTCTTTGCATATCTTATGGTCCTTGGTGGTGGAAACAACCTCTGTTGTTTTCTTCCAGACTCCACAGCAGTACAACATCATGTGGATCCTGACAGATCTGACCTCTCTGCTCCTCATCTCACTCATCTTTGCTCTGCACTGGTAAGTACTAATGACCATCCTAAACTGATCTTTTGCTCTAGATGGAGGGAAAGAGGGATGCTTTCAGGTAACCTGAAGAGTTAAAGCTACTCTTGGGAACATTAGCTTTCTCCTCTGGAAATGGGAGAAAGCCCTGAAAGTCCCCCCAATCCTCTCTGCTTCTCCTGCTTGCTCTCATTTTCCCTTTCCATCTTACCTCAGGCATTGTTCACCCTCAGGATTCATGGAGAAGTGGTGGATTTATGGTAGCAACATAAACCAGTCATCAAAGCTGATGGGCTGAGAAAAGAATGGATTATTGTTACTACTTAGACAGTGTTTCATTGGACTGATTTGCAAGGAAAGCTCTCTGTGTTAATATTTGAGTGTTCCATGTCTCTCTGTCTGCATATGCCAGAGCCCCTGAGGAAATCCATCCTCCCAGATGAAAATATCTGAGTGTGTCACACACATCTCATTTTCTTTCCTTCCATTCTGTCAAATTAGGAAATCTGCGGTTCATGGAACAGGGTCACCCCAGCAGGTTGTGTTGTGCTGCTGGATGTTCTGCTCTGCCATAGTTGTATGAGGATGGTGCCTATGCTCTCATCCCATTAGTGTCCAAGGAAAGCAGGATGTGCTGGGCTCAGATCTTCAGCTGGCTGGCTGTGGGTGGGTGGAAGGATCAGAGCAGCCAATTCAGGGGAGCTTTTTTTGCTGGCAGCACAACTGTGCTGCAGGTGACAGCAGCAAAAGGCTTGGGAAGCTCCTGGGTGAGCAGTCTGGATTGCTGTTAACTGTGACTTGCTTTGGCATAGGAAAATGTTGGAGTGCTAATATTGCTCTGGTATGGTGACAGAAATGAATTAGTAGCAGTTTGACAAAGTGATGAACTAGCACTGTACAGGCATCCAGGCTTTTCCCTTCCCAAGGCAAAGTGACTGTCTCCTTTCCTTTCTCTATTACCCTGCTCTGTTATCCTCAGGTCTTGCTTTAGCAGCTTTCACTGTGTTCTCAAGGCTGCAGGTTGCAGGGTGGCTCACAATCACCCCTGTAAAAAGCATCACCACCACCATTAGACCTTCCCATGCCTGTGTCCTCCAGGCTTGTGCTCACGTTATGTATGTATTTTCCAGGCTCTGTGGATGCTTCTGGTCCAACCAACAACAATCTCCTCTGGGCAAGCCTTTGCAGCAAGGGCATTCCCAACCCTGCTGGGACAGAAGGGCCATCAGCAGTGCCTCAGTGCCCTGCATGGTCTCCTTTGTTAGGTTTATGAACACACCAAAATCACAATTTTAAATTTCTCTGGCTACTTAACAACCAGTGGCTGCAAACATTTGTGGGGCTTTTGAGCTCTTAAATCTTGCTGAGAAAACAGGGCTTAGTCACAGAGTTGCCTTCAAAATGCTGTTGCAGACATGAAGCGTGGATGCTTAGACATCAGTCGTGCACTGGAGTCCTTTCTTGGTTAAGGACACGAGAAAATCCCAAAATACCTGTGCTCACAAAGTAAGGAAAATGGTGTCCACAGCAGCAGGGATCTGTGAGGAAAACCACAGTGAGCACAGGCCTGATCCAGGTGCTTTTCCCTCTGCAGGTGGCGAGAGCGGAATTTCTCGTGCTGTGCCCAGGACAGTAACCCGGTGCTAGAGAGCGGCACCTACAACAAGTTCAGGACAGGTGAGCAGGGCAATGAAAGCTGCTGTATCCTGCACAGTGTGGTCTCTGTGGGGTCACTGGTATCCTGATGGTTGTGTTGGTGATGGATGTCCATACTATCTCAGCCTCAGGTGTAGGTGGCAGGATTCTGTATTCAAACCCCTGAGCAGCTCAACCCAATCGGCCCTGTGTCAAGTAGAGGGTTGGGGCATACATATTGATGTCCCCACCAATACTCATTACTCTGTGATGCTGTGAAAAGAGACCCTGGAGGCACTGAGCACTCCTGGTTCTGCAAGGCAGGGTGGGATTGGCTGAGGATCCTCCAGTGCACCATGTTTCTGCACTCATGGAGCTATCATACAGACAAAATGACCCAACCTGGGCTGCATGCATTTTCAGCCAGGTTGTATTTGCTCACGATGGCTGTCAAAACAAATGCAGTTGTATCGGTAGCTCACTGTGTCCCTTTTTCCAGAGCTCAGTGACATGCCTGCTGTCCTGACCTGACATGGGCAGAGAGGGGACGCGGACCTGACATCCCAGTGAGACTGGGGAGACCAGCTGTGGGGGCTCAGATCTACCTGATGAGGAGGATCCATTTGCCTTCAAGACTGCTGGAGATGAGCATCAGTCTTCCTCTCCTACAGCTTTTATCAGATTCCTGTGCCTGGCAGGGATCCCTGGGGTGTAGGAGAGCACAGGTGGAGCTGCAGCCATGAAGAAATTCTGTGCCATGGTGAGATGCAACAACTACATGGGAGTCACTATTTACCCTTTGAAACCATTGGCATCCCACAGGGCAATCAGTCCTGCCATGTGTAAGCCCTCGTTTCCAGAGCTGTGTTTTATACATGCTGCAAACATCTGAGCATCCTGCAAACATCTGAGCATCCTGCAGTTCTCCGCATTCACAGCTGCCCAGGTTTCTCCTGTCAGATCGGCCTCTTCTCCACACACTACCTCCCTCCCTCTCTCCCTCCTTGCAGGTCTCCTCCACCCCCAAGAGCACACTCACCCCACCACGATGGTCAGGCGCTGCTGTCTGGGTGTTAATAGGATCTGTACCCTTCTATAATGCAGGCAGTGGCATCTTTGGTTTTCCTTTTCTTCACTCTGGCCCTGCCACAGACCCTAACAAGGACAGTCTCTTCCCCTTGGCTGTGGGTGAGGGCATAACTTTCCCATGGCGGGTGAAGGACTTCTTGGTGCCTTGGCCAGGTAGCCACTGAGACTACGACACACCACTTTTGTTCAGAAGGATTGAGCTGCGCGTGAACTGGTACCATCAAGTGTCCTGTTTGCTTTTCCCTTGGGAAGGCCTGTATACCTGTACAACACCCCAGGATTTATCTGGATTTGCATTTCTCCCAGCGGCTGCTGGCACACAGTGGGGAGGGGAGTCCATGCCTTGCTCTGTAAGTGGGATGTAAGCATCTCTCAGGTTTAAGCCATAACTTTCTACTTGAACAGATAATAAGGATACATTTTTTGTAAATTGTAAGTGCTGTTTTAAATACATTTTAGCTCTCCTATCCTGTTCTGTTCTTATTTTGCAAGCTGGGAAAGAAAATACTAGTCTTTACCAGATTCAGGCTACAGACAACTTCTCACACGTGAACCTTTTGTTAAATAAAGTTATCACAAGTGAATTGTGACAGGGAAGCATTAGATTTCAGAGTTACCTGTGTTGAGAAGCACTCAAGCCTTTCCACGTTGTAATTTTGGAGTATTTTGGAGGCTAGAAATGCAAAAAAGAAGCGTCAGCCTTTGGAAAAGGGATAAAGGGCAGATGGATCATTGTAGAGCAGATACAGATCTATGAAGCATGGAGAGAGGATGGTGTTAGATTCCTCTCCCCATGCCCTGCATGCATAGCTGTTTCATAACTTTTTGTGGATACTACTTATGTATGTCAGCAGCAAAAATAGGAGGGGGGGGTAGGTTGATTGTGCCATGCATCATGGGTTCCTCAGCCTGTCCCTTGGTGTTCAAGTGAGGGAGTTGGCAGTGGTCCCTCAACTGCTGGTTTTAATATGTGTAGGGAAAAGCCACCTCAATGCACTTTGATCCATGTATGCAGCTGCTGCTTGGCCATTATGCAGTGGTAACTCCCTGTACTCACCTTCCTCATTCTCACCAGCCTTGCCCAGGCAGAGCCTGGACAATCAGACCTGATCTCCTTTAATGCCTTACATTCTGTCACATCTCAGCTACTATTTTTGTTGCTTCACAGCTAGCAGGGTCTGGCGACCTTGTTAGGCACATGGCTGGTAGTCTGACTCCTACATACAAACTTTTCACCCAGCACTTCCTACATCCAGTGATTCAGCTCAAAACTGGCTGGAAGATCCACCCTTGTCATAGAAGATGAGCAACGGAGACTACCCAGGTCTTCAGTGGTTTTCACCTCAAAATAAAACATTTCAACTAGTTTCCAGTCCAGGCACACTGATGGTTTGCTCCTCATTGCTTGATACTCTCACCAGGAGTTCCACTCAGCAAAGAGAAGTCTCATCCACAACAAGAATCTGGGAGCCCTGAGCCCACTCTTCCCTGTGGAGATGCCATGAAAAACACACAGTGCAGGACAGCCTCCCACAAAGCCACTTGATCCTTTTTAATTAGAGTATTTCACTTGGACATATGTTTTTCATCTTACATTGCTTGGTGTGAATACAAAGATGCCAGCAGATGCTAATACATATGACACACAGGCACGCACACACAGAGTCCTGGCATTCCCCAAAATGGTGGGGTGGATGGGAGGCCAACAGAGCTGTAAGGGAGGGATGAGGGTGGTATGAGTGGAAAGCAGCTCTGGAAAACACTGCTGTGACGCATCATCTGCTGCATGTGATGTGGGAGGCAGGGATGGCTGGAGACTCACAAAAAGCAGTGATGGTGGTGGTGATGACAGGCATGTGTCTAAGGCCAGGTGGGATCCCAAGGACAGCTGAGGAAGGGAGAGAAACACCAGAAATGGATGGTAAGAAGGCAGCTTGGCTCCCAGTGTAGCCTTGGCTGGTGTAACCATGCTCCCATCACCAGGGTGCCTCGGGTCGGGGATAGTGGAGAAAGGGGATCTCTTAGCAGCCCTGTCTGGCTGGTGAATGTCTCCATACAGCATCTCACTCACTTTGATGGAGCAATCAAGGTCCTAAGTCACTGCTGCATCCCAGGTGAATGTCATGGTCCTTGAGGTCTGGTAGGCAGTGCTATCAGCTCTGCCTAGCACGCTATAGTGTCGGAGAGCTGAGCCCAGCTGAGCTTAACAGAATAATATGTTCCCACAATATGGACTTCTGTGAAAGCAGTCAACCTCAGCCCAATGGATGGGACCAACACAGGTCTCCCACATCTGCTGAGATCCACTCAGTGATAGTGACACCAGCACAAGATATTGGTGGACAATTGTCACCTCTCCTGATACCCTACACCCAGCCACATGCTCCTTTGAAGCCTGTAGTTTGGAAAGGCACCCCCAGGCTTCTTCCCCTGCATCCTCCCAGCACAACGTGGCTTCAGCCTCCTCTCTGCCAGCAGGTCCCATCTCTGCTCCAAAGCAGGCTGGTCTGCACTGCATGGTGTTGGGTGGAAGAGGGGAGAAAGAGCCAGCAGGTTAGTACAGCCAATCAAAGATGGAGAAAAGCCTACAGAAAAGAAGGGTATGCCCTTGCTATGGGTGGTTCACGTTCAGCTGGGACTCATAAAGAGCTGCTTTATACAGTAACACACACAAAAGCACAATAAAATCATCAGCTGTTACAAACCCAATGACCAAGTTCACATTTGAATTACAGCTCAACATAGGCTTGGCCTCAGTCTTCCAAACCTGGGGTCTTCAAAATCCCTATATCCATATTGAAGCTTGCAGTAGAAGTCCTCCTAGGGTTAATTTTTCTGGGCACAGGGGGCAAAAGGAGATAATTCATCTTCCAAGCTTCACTTCCAGCTGAGCCCTTAAGTTGGAAAAGATGTGCCTTACTCAGCCTCTGGCAGTTATGGCTCTTGGGGAATCCCTGGGCGAGGGACTGTTCTGCAGGTCGCCCTCAGCCCCGAGGCAGCATCCAGATACCGGCACAAAATGCAGGATTATTTTTTTTCCTTTTTAATATTTTAAAAAATAAATAGAAGAAGAAAAAAAACTTTAAAATTTGTTCTTTAAATATTTCCAGCATTGCACAGACAGCACTTCAGTATTCTAGCCTGTTCAATCAGTAGTTTGTTTATTCTGATTCCTAGTAAAAATGTGCTCCTCCCAGCCTGCTTTTTCTTTCTGTCCTTCTTTAGAACACAACATATTCTTTTGTAATGACAAAAATCCCAAGCCCTGCAGTGTTCATTCGACATCTTTCCAGCATGGATCAAGGTTCTGTTATTCCTCTTCAAACTTGAAGTTGCCAGAACCTTACAAAAAATCTGTTAGCATCCTAATAGCTCTCATATTTAAGAAGAAAACCAAACAAAAACAAAGCAAGCCACACACACACACAAACACACACAAATCCTCTTCCAAGAGCCTTTGTGATGCCAACCACTGGGTTCAGGCAAAGCCTGGAGTGTTTTTGCTCAATCACTGTCTGAGAGCAGTGGTGTCCCCTGGAAATTTTTGAGACGTAAGATGGAGTTGGGATACAGGGAGAGGCAGGAGAATGGGAGGTCAGAGATAGTCATCTTCGCTGGAAAGGGAGGTGGGATCGGAGCCCTCAAGGTCAGAGTCCAGTGAACTCCCTGATGGTGTTCGGCTCATCTTCCACATCTGAGAGGCAAAGGTTCTCCCCCAGCTGCACGGGTATCCCACTGCCCTCAGCTGGTGAATTAGTGCCATGGCCACCTGCCAGTGGCTTCTTGCAGTTCACTTGCTACCCTTTGCACTCCTCTGTTTGCTCATGGCTGTTAGCATCTGGCTGATGTACGAGGTCAAAAGATCATCCATCTTGTACCCCTGAGGAGGAGAGACAAGGTGTTACCTGCCTTTAGAGCACAGTTTACAGTCTCCTGGCTTGTGCCTCCTGAATGCACTGGCTACCAGTTGTTGACTTTTAAGTTTTCAAGTACATTTGACTTATTCTACCATTCTCTTTGGGTGAAATGTCACCACCACAAGAAACACTGTCCAAACATAATTTGCAGCATCAAGACAGAGGAACTCACTGTCCCAGCATGCTGCTGAGGCTAAGGACATAGGGAACTTTGGATGGGACATGGATTTTCAAATGGCTAACAAAATACTGAATGCCTCAGATTAATAACAATTAATTCAGTAGCAATTTTTATCCTTCATGCTTTCAGTCGAAGATACTCGAAGAGGAGTTTTGTTGCTGTGACTATTACAAGGGACAAGTTGGGCAAAAGATCTTGGTAAAAGGGCTCAAGAATACCCCTTGAGCCCACACCAGCTTTAATGTTTTTTTCAGTCCAGTGGCAGGGACTGTCCCCCATGCTCCTGACATGGTAACATCCCGAGCACAGCAGGCTTGCTTGTACATTTGATGATGGACCAAATGAGAGCCCTGATCACTGAGCAGAGCAATGGGAAGTCCAGAAGAAAAAAAATCCAACACATCAGGGGCTCTTCTGAGAGACCACTTTCAGCACAGAGAATCCCTGAGGCACAATTTGCTGCCAGTCAGGATTTTGTCTAATCTTTAATACTACTTACCAGGGAGGTCTCACAGAGCAGCTTGCTTCCTCTCACTAAGTTGCCAATGGTTATATGGAAGTACGTGTTGCCACTGCTCCAGTTGGAGATCTTGGTGAAGGGGTGAGTGATGAGGATATCCTGGTGGGAACACAAGAGTGACACTCAACATGCAAGAGCCTCAACTTTCACGAAGGGCTGTGGGGACTCCTCATGTCCCTGTTCACTCTCCATCAAAGCAGACCAAGGATATCTACCAAAGGATATGATGAGACTCATGGGGATGGCAGTGAGATGCAAGACTGGATCCTCCAGTACTTGTGAAAGACTGTCATATGTGACATGACCACAAACATGATGGAAGTAACTAGTAGGATCTCATTTACTCCAGCTCCTGTCCTAATGTCTGTGAAAGGATTAAGGAAGCAGCGTATGTGTCCTCCAGTTACAGAGTTCTAACAGTTGATGCTCCCAATACATCTCCTGTTGAAAAAAGCTGTCTGGCTCTGTGTAACACTGAATTTCTGCCTCCAGAAACTGTTCTGTCTATCCAGCCTTTCTAACTAGGCTTAATGAGAACCCACTAAGTTCTGAACAACATGCTCTTTGGTATGACTCCTCTGAGAGTTTGGGGAATGGGCTCAGGAGCCCTCAGTTTTGCTTACCTTGGTTTTGGGATCAATGAGGCTGACTCCATGCTTATTGATGGCAATTAGAAGGATTTCTGGATAATTTGGCTCTGTAGTTTGCTGTTGGAAATGAGATGAACTGGTCAGAGGATGTGTCAAGCAAAATCACACCCCTTCCTATTTCCTCTCTCCCTATCTTCTCCTGACAGCACTTGGTGGCCTACTAACTGCTATCTAGTTTATCCTTTAAAGATAAACCTAGAGCTCATCAAGGTATCAGCAATAGTCAGGACTGTCTAGGTA